ATGAGTGTCTCGTGGCCAGATCGTAAATTGTGTTTCTAATTGAATTCTAAGCACTCAGGCGGCAGGTGACAGTCGTCGTCCGGCGATGTCGTCACCCAACCAGGCCAACCAGCCTTGGCATACCCTCTGCGGCCCAACAGGGTAGCAACGCCCATTTCCCAGAACTGGGAGCTGCTCTTGTTAATTTCCCGACGTTACTGCGTTAATGCCGCCAAGTGTCGGACCGTCATTAGCATATAAATATTGTTGTAATTACGCCTGGTAAATAATGCAATTTTGCCATTTTTATAGGTCATGCCAGGGCTTAAATTAAAATTATTATAATTGAGTTAAGCGAAGGGGCGAGCCGCGAGTTGCGGCAAGTCGAAGGGCTAGCATTTCGCATGGCTTAAAATGCAGCACGAAACATGGCCATAAAGTGTAGCTGCGTTTAGCTTAAGCAAGTCGACAATTTAAAAAGCCAATTTGCGCATAATACGCTGAACGTGATCAAAAACTTAAAGCGGAATCGCACACACGCATACAAACTCACACATCTATCCATTTGCAGGTACAGGTAAAAAGGTAGCGTGCTGTGCGAATTTCCTCGCAAATGACCATTAATGCGAATGTTGTTTGCCCACCCAAATGACCCAACTCTTACATTTCTATTCGATTTGGTGGCTAGTGGCATGTATCTCTGAAACTTACCAAAATCGAAATATTTTTTTAGACCGATTCTTCGTTGTTCAAACCTCTTTTACATTTTTTTTTTCAAATACTTGACAACTCTGGGCCCCTTGCGGGTAACGGTCTGGCAGCGCCGCATTACGCACTTTCGAGAATAAGTCTTCTTCTTGCAAGCTTTAAGTATTCCTGGTTAATATATTTAAATTGCTTTTATTGCGCTAAATATACATTATTACAGCTTACAAATGAGTCGCAAAAGGGTGTCGCGTCCAATGTTCGTCCTGGGGGACTTCGTTTTCGCCGAGGTGAATGGTTATCGCCCTTGGCCCGCCCGCATCCTAGGTCGCTACGGCACCGTCTCCAAGATCAGATATTATGTATTCTTTTATGGGAATTGTAATACCGCCAAGGTTTCCTCGTCGCATGTCTTTGATTTCGAGAAAAATAAACGGCGCATGGGCGCCCGGCGTGAAAAGAATACCGCGCGGAACGCGGACTTTCGCAGTGCAATGGCGCACATGTGGAAGGCATTCGCAAAACCCGAGAACGATTTGGAATATTTCCGGGTGCTGGCACGTACGGACGATGAGGGCGAGAGATGCGTTCCCTACGAAATGCTGAAGTGTACCACAGACTCGGAGACCGACTCCGAGGAAGAGGGTTCCGAAGACTCGCAAACTTCAACGGAAAGTTCTTCGGAGGAAGACACAACGGAGAAACCGGAGAAACGCAAATCCAAGGCTAAGGAGCAGGATTCTGAGGAGGAGGATGACACAACGGGGACTGAGAGTATTTCGGAGGAAGATACAACGGATATGGAGAGTAGTTCGGAGGAAGATACAAATGAGAAACCAAAGAAACGCAAATCAAAGGTTAACGAACAAGATTCTGAGGAGGAGGATGACACAACGGGAACTGAAAGTATTTCGGATGAGGACACAACGGAGATGGAGAGTAGTTCGGAGGAAGATACAACGGAGAAACGCAAATCAAAGGCTATGGAGCAGAATTCTGATGAGGAGGAGCAGAATTCTGGAGAGGAGGATGAAACAACGGGAATGGAGGTTATTTCGGAAGACGACACAACGGAAATGAAAAGTCGTTCGGAGGAGGACTCAGCGGAGAAACCGAAGAAACGCAAATCAATGGCTATGGAGCAGGATTCTGTTGAGGAGGAGCAGGATTCTGAGGAGGAGGATGAAACAACGGGAATGGAGGTTATTTCGGAAGACGACACAACGGAAATGGAAAGTCGTTCGGAGGAGGACTCAGCGGAGAAACCAAAGAAACGCAAATCAATGGCTATGGAGCAGGATTCTGTTGAGGAGGAGCATGATTCTGAGGAGGAGGATGAAACAACGGGAATGGAGGTTATTTCGGAAGACGACACAACAGAAATGGACAGTCGTTCCGAGGAGGACACAGCGGAGAAACCGAAGAAACGCAAATCAAAGGCAATGGAGCAGGATTCTGATGAGGAGGAGCAGGATTCTGAGGAGGAGGATGAAACAACGGGAATGGATGTTCTTTCGGAAGACGACACAATGGAAATGGACAGTCGTTCCGAGGAGGACACAGCGGAGAAACCGAAGAAACGCAAATCAAAGGCAATGGAGCAGGATTCTGAAGAGGAGGAGAAGGATTCTGATGAGGAGGAGCAGGATTCTGAGGAGGAGGATGAAACAACGGGAATGGAGGTTATTTCGGAAGACGACACAACGGAAATGGAAAGTCGTTCGGAGGAGGACTCAGCGGAGAAACCGAAGAAACGCAAATCAATGGCTATGGAGCAGGATTCTGTTGAGGAGGATCAGGATTCTGAGAAGGAGGATGAAACAACGGGAAAGGAGGTTATTTCGGAGGACGACACAACGGAAATGGGCAGTCGTTTAGAGGAGGACACAGCGGAGAAGCCAAAGAAACGCAAATCAAAGCCAATGGAGCAGGATTCTGATGAGGAGGAGCAGGATTCTGAAGAGGAGGAGAAGGATTCTGAGGAGGAGGAGCAGGATTCTGAGGAGGAGGATGAAACAACGGGAATGGAGGTTATTTTGGAGGACGACACAACGGAAATGGGCAGTCATTTCGAGGAGGACACAGCGGAGAAACTGAAGAAACGCAAATCAATGGCTATGGAGCAGGATTCTGATGAGGAGGAGGAGGATTCTGGAGAGGAGGATGAAACAACGGGAATGGAGGTTATTTCGGAGGACGACACAACGGAAATGGAAAGTCGTTCGGAGGAGGACACAGCGGAGAAACCGAAGAAACGCAAATCAATGGCTATGGATCAGGATTCTGGGGAAGAGGATGAAACAACGGGACTGGAGGGTATTTCGGATGAGGACACAAGGGAGTTGGAGTATCCTTCCGAGGGAGACATAGTGTATAACCTTGAGAACTGCAAATCAAAGGCTATGGAGCAGGATTCTGATGAGGAGGAGCAGGATCCTGGGGAGGAGGCGACAACGGGAACGGAGGTTTTTTCGGAGGACGACACAACGGAAATAGAGAGTCGTTCGGAGGAAGACACAACGGAGAAACCGGAGAAACGCAAATCAATGGCTATGGAGCAGGATTCTGAGGAGGAGGATGAAACAACGGGACTGGAGGGTATTTCGGATGAGGACACAACGGAGTTGGAGAGTTGTTTGGAGGGAGACATAGTATATAACCTTGAGAACTGCAAATCAAAGGCTATGGAGCAGGATTCTGATGAGGAGCAGGATCCTGGGGAGGAGGAGACAACGGGAACGGAGGTTATTTCGGAGGACGACACAACGGAAAAGAAAGTCGTTCGGAGGAAGACACAGCGGAGAAACCGGAGAAACGCAAATCAATGGCAATGGATCAGGATTCTGGGGAAGAGGATGAAACAACGGGACTGGAGGGTATTTCGGATGAGGACACAACGGAGTTGGAGTGTCGTTCGGAGGGAGACATAATGGAGAACCTTGAGAACTCCAAATCAAAGGCTATGGAGCAGGATTATGAGGAGGAGGAGCAGGATTATGAGGAGGAGAATGAAACAACGGGACTGGAGGGTATTTCGGATGAGGACACAACGCATTTGGAGTGTCGTTCAGAGGGAGACATAGTGGATAATCTTGAGAATTGCAAATCAAAGGCTATGGAGCAGGATTCTGATGAGGAGGAGCAGGATCCTGGGGAGGAGGAGACACCGGGAACGGAGGTTATTTCGGAGGACGACACAACGGAAATAGAAAGTCGTTCGGAGGAAGACACAGCGGAGAAACCGGAGAAACGCAAATCAATGGCTATGGAGCAGGATTCTGAGGAGGAGCAGGATCCTGGGGAGGAGGAGACAACGGGAACGGAGGTTATTTCGGAGGACGACACAACGGAAAAAGAAAGTCGTTCGGAGGAAGACACAGCGGAGAAACCGGAGAAACGCAAATCAATGGCTATGGATCAGGATTCTGGGGAAGAGGATGAAACAACGGGACTTGAGGGTATTTCGGATGAGGACACAAGGGAGTTGGAGTATCCTTCCGAGGGAGACATAGTGTATAACCTTGAGAACTGCAAATCAAAGGCTATGGAGCAGGATTCTGATGAGGAGGAGCAGGATTATGAGGAGGAGGAACAGGATTATGAGGAGGAGAATGAAACAACGGGACTGGAGGGTATTTCGGATGAGGACACAACGGAGTTGGAGTATCCGTCGGAGGGAGACATAGTGGATAACCTTGAGAACTGCAAATCAAAGGCTATGGAGCAGGATTCTGAGGAGGAGGATGAAATAAAGGAACTGGAGGTTATTTCGGAAGACGGCACTTCGGAAATGGACAGTCTTTCCGAGGAGGACACAGCGGAGAAACCGGAAAAACGCAAATCAATGGCTATGGATCAGGATTTTGGGGAAGAGGATGAAACAACGGGATTGGAGGGTATTTCGGATGAGGACACAACGAAGTTGGAGTGTCGTTCGGAGGGAGACATAATGGAGAACCTTGAGAACTGCAAATCAAAGGCTATGGAGCAGGATTCTGATGAGGAGGAGCAGGATTCTGGGGAGGAGGATGAAACAACGGGACTGGAGGGTATTTCGGATAAGGACACAACGGAGTTGGAGAGTCGTTCGGAGGGAGATATAATGGAGAATCTTGAGAACTGCAAATCAAAGGATATGGAGCAGGATTCTGTTGAGGAGGTGCAGGATTCTGGGGAGGAGGATGAAACAACGGGACTGGAGGGTATTTCGGATGAGGACACAACGGAGTTGGAGTATCCTTCGGAGGGAGACATAGTGAATAACCTTGAGAACTGCAAATCAAAGGCTATGCAGCATGATTCTTCGGAGGGGATGAAATAAAGGAACTGGAGGGTATTTCGGATGAGGACACAACGCAGTTGGAGTGTCGTTCGGAGGGAGAAATAATGGAGAACCTTGAGAACTGCAAATCAAAGGCTATAGAAAAGGATTCTGGGGAGGAGGAGGAGGATGATATAACGGGAACGAAGAGTATTTCGGATGAGGACACAACGGAGTTGGTGAGTCTTTCGAAGGAAGACACAACGGAGAAACCGGAGAAACGCAAATCAAAGGTTATGGAGTTGGATTCTGAGGGGGCGGATGAAGCAATGGGGTCGAAAACTCTTTTGGTTGAGGACACAACCCAGGTGAAAAGTAGTTCGGAGGAAGAGTTGGCGCTCCCGCCGGTCAAGAAATCGAAGATATCAATTTCGTTCCAGGATGACCAGAGTAATGCTCCAAATTAGCCCTACACTCTAGAAAAATCCTTTAGAAGAATTATCCCAGATTGAGAAGATTGAAGAAAAAGATTTGCCAAGTTTTAAAAGGTTCCGCATTAAGAAAAATATTTTGTTTATATTTGAGTTACTTTGAACAATGAAATTCTACTTTTCCTAAGATATCCCTTGTTTGTCATAAAATAAAGCGTTTGAAATGAATTCCTTTTTGCTTAGTTTATTTAGAAAATGTACATATATTAGTATTTAAAAAAAAAAGTCTGTCTTGTCACTATAATGCATAATTAGTGTGGATCTTTAGTTAATTCCGGTCGTCACAACGATTCATTGCTGTTTAAAACCACAACACTTTTTTAAATACTTTACAACCCTGCTCCCCTGTAGTCCGTAGCTTTGTAGCAGAAAGTCTGGCAACACCGAATTACGTACTTCCAAGAATAACACTTCTTCTTCTTCCAAGCTAAAAGTGGCGTGCTTAAATTTAAAAGAGTTTGACTTCTATTTCCGTGCGAAAGTATACCGTATTAAAGCTTCGAAAATGGGTCGCAATCGGGTGGCTCGTCCAGTGTTCGCCCTGGGAGACTTCGTTTTCGCCAAGGTACACGGCTATCGTCCCTGGCCTGCCCGCGTCCTGGGCCGCCATGGCACTGCGTCCAATATGAAATTCAGTGTGTTTTTCTACGGAACTTGCAACACTGCCAAGGTCTCGCCCTTGCATATCTTTGATTTCGCGACGAATAAACGGCGCATGGGCGCCGTGCGCTCGAGGAATACAGCACGGAATGCCGGCTTCCGCAGCGCAATGGCGCACGTTCGGCTGGCGTTTGCAAGACCCGCAAACGACTTTGTATATTACCAGGTGCTGGCGCGGGCGAATGGTGAGGGCGAGAGCTCCGCCACCTACGAAATGCTAACGTCGACCACGGAGTCGGAATCGGACTCCAATGATTCGGATTCCGGAGACTCAACGGATAAGCCGGAGACACGCAAATCAAATGCCAAGGACCAGGATTCTAAGGAGGAGGATGACTCAACGAAGAGGGAGAATAGTTCGGAAGAAGAGGAGGAGTCACAGCCTGCCAAGAAAGCTAAGAAATCAACCCTGCTGCCAGATGGCCAGGATGATGCTCCAGATCAAGCCGATCAAGCTATAGAAAAGGAGCTAGAGAAGTTGGACGGTGACAAGGATCTTTTCAGTGACGCAGATTCTGACTCCTTTGAATTCGAGGGGAATCCTTTAGTGAGCAATGCACATTTGCATGATTTAGAAATTCACAACGCGGATCCATCATCACATAGCCTAGAAGAGCATTTAGAAACTTGGACGACGAGGAGGATGAAGATTCTAAGTTCGAGGGATACGGAAATGAAGATGAGAACGGCTTGCCCATTTACCCAGCCTACCGTCATATTACGGGTGACGAGGAGTGAGGGGATTCAATCAATTGTCGATTTATGGAGAGAGATAAGAAAAAACTATAACGTTCGCATTTCCTAAATATAAATGCTTAAACTTAAAATTATGTCCAATTTCTAGAGACAATGTTAAAGAGCTCAATGAAATAGATCTCTATGATTTCAATTTGTACAAGCATATGTAAAATGAAAACAAAAAAAGTTTATTTTATTTTTTTATTGAGATGAAGAATGAAGAATTTAAAATGGTTTTCCATAACACAAAGAATCTGGTTGATATTTAAGTTACTTTGAACAATAAATGTCCTATAAAATATTATCTTTTTGTCACAAGTAACAAAGAGTTTGATCTTATGCTTTAAGCAAACCAGTTTAAAGCAAGTGTGTTAAATTGAAGCTCAACTCCTCCTAACATTTTTAGGGAACTTCGAATGATTGGAGTTTGCCGAAATGGTTTCGAATTATTGGCGGCCATTAAGGAGGCGCGGGCGGGCGTGCCAGTGGCCATAATGGCTGATGCGTGATCCTCGACTGCACTGACCTCCACCCATCTATCCGGGGGAGAGTTCGTCCTAGCGCGCACGTTTCTGTTTTAAGTGCTGCACCATCAGCACCGGGCACCATCATCCCCCAGACAACCTTCCACCACCTCCCCCAGGACGACGATGAGCCTCCCCAGAGGCGGTCGCTAGATAGTTTAGCTAAATGCCGTCGTAAAAGAGCGCCGGCCGTTAAGCCAACAAGCCGAGGGGCGCAGAGTCCATAAACCAAAAGATTCCCACCCTACTTTCGTCCAGATTTAATTGGATGAGATGGTGCAGCTGCAGGAGGATGAGAGGGCCCTGGACCAGCTTCCAGATGAGGATGCTTCGATTAACAAATTATCGCCACCGCAGCAAATTAATCGCTGCAGCTTGGCATCTGTAAGGGCTGTATTCACTCGGTAACTGGGTTAACGAGAAAGGACGAGCGATGACCGCAAATCAGATTCGCTAAGCCGGCAATGGGATTCGCAACCGCAGCATCAATTTAGTTTCAGTGCCAGAAATATATTTTGCACTCCTCCAACAGATTGCAGCAGCTGCCAGAGCGGACGCCACCGAAGCTGGAGGTGCATGGAGAAAAAATGCGAAATCGTCCTGGCTGGGATCTCTCCTGACGCTTAAATTCACAAAAGAGAGATTCGCCGTTCTAAATTTCTTTATTTGTAGAAACAGTATTTAGTTTTTTAATCCTATTATTGTTTTCCATAAAATTGTTATAAATGTTGATAAGCTTTCTCATCTAAAGTCGTACAAAAATGTACTTGTTAATCAAGTTATATCCATAATTGTTTAACCTGTACCACTTTTAAGGTTAAAGTACAAAATGTAAATTATCTGAGTGCATCGGAGATGCCGGTGCGAGATCCCTCAGAGGCCTCACAGCATCCTTTTGCCCCCTCGACAGCTGTCTGCTGGGCTTAATCCTTTGCCCGGCATTCTTTTGCGGTCTGTGCCAGATTGTTAAGGAGTTCTTCTCATCCTCCTCCTTCTCCCGATATGCATATGGATCAACGGCTCCTCGTCCTGCTCCCGATCCCTATCCTGGGCCGTAAAATGTCAAATTAATGTTACAACATGTCCAACAACTTTTGATGGCATTTGACAATGCTGAGTGGAAATTCCTGCAGGTGACGCAATTTCCCTGTAATTTGTTTGGCCGCACGTACGCTGGACGCCATAGTTGTCGTCATGATGGGATTGTGCCTGCCCAGCATAAACAAAACCCAGCCGAACCGAGTTGAGTCGATCTGATCCAAAATGCGCCGAGGGACCTGTAGCCCTACTGGACTGCGGTTAGTTGGGTTATTGGATGGCCTGTCTGCTTATCGGGGAGTCACTGGTTACTGGACGGGATGGGAAGGGAAGGGACGGGACGGGACGGCTGCTAGTTGGATCGTTGGCAAGGTGTCAATGTGTGGGCATGTCGCACACGTGTGCCCTGCCCCGGGGCCATAAATTCACTTAGTTTATTTGCTGCCACTCCGCTGTGCTTCTGTGTCCACTCCACACTCCACTCCAGCAGACAATCAGACACCCACTTGAATGCCCGGCCAGGCATTCATGCCCAGTTCGGCGGAAATTTGTGAAGGAAATCAAATTAAAATTTCGCTAATTTATCAGTCGCTGCGAAATCGTGTGCCCCGGTAGCAAACCACTCGCAAGAGACATACATATAACCACGCGGGAAAAACGAAGGAAGTGGTGCGGGGTTACTTGCTGTTCTGGCAAATTTTTACATTTTATCGAAACGACTTCATCAGCCACCAGTCGCCAGTCCGAGGTCCGAAACAAAGGCATTCTAATTAAAATTCCCAAGTGTCAGAAATTTTATTTATGTATTTCCCTGCCAAAACTAAGTGCATCAATCAAACTTTTGCACAACCGCCAATTAATTTTTTGCTCGACGTTCTTGGGACTCATCGTTAACACCCCGAAAGTCGATTGGATTCTGAAATTGGGACGGGATTGGTTTCGTTGCCTAATCGATGACTGATTGTTCAAGTAAAAAGCTACACTGTGCAAATAAATACCGATGGATTTATAAGAGAATACATTTGATCTCACAGAATTTATTATATAGGAGAGTTCTTTTAAATTACACACAACTTATTCAATAATTAATCTTATCTTCAAAGGTATAATATGATTAAATTCCGTGTACTCTGACATAAGAATATTTGAGGTCTTGGAATAATAATTTCTCCAAGTGCACAAATTTCTCCCTAGTTTTTTTTCGCGATATCTCAACCTATTGTTTCTCTAGTGTTCACTCTCTATTAAAGCGATTATGATAGGCCAATCAACCCCTGTCCCGAACCATTTTGAACGCCTTTCAGTGAGCACATGTTATTATTTGTTTTTGATGAAGTGGTTGATTACGATCGACCCTCCCCGTGAATTTATTTGAGCTAGCCACCCCTGGAGAAACGTCCTTGCCATTTGACTTGCTGTCAGGAAGGGAAATCAACCAGGCACTCTTCGACACACCAAGTCCCTCGTGACAATACAAAATGTTGACTGAGGTGAGACAGAGTCGTGTAATAATTTCAGATTTTACGACCCTCGTGGATCGACTCGACATGTTGTGGGTCAGCAGGTGAAACCCAAAAAGCGAAGGGGTCCGCTGCTGCCTCCCACACCGCGCATAATTAGCCGATGTCGAACATTTGGTAATACACGGAATAATGGGCTCCAAGTATGTCATTGGATATGCAAAGCGTCTACGCTTTTTTATTTTCGCCACAGTGGGTGGTATTCTGATTGGGAACACCCAACCCATCCGATCCGATCCGACCACCTTACTAATGGAAACTTACGTCGCTTTTTAATTGATTTGTGCCAAAAGTTTTATAGCTTTTTAAAGCTGGCCGAAACAAATGGCTGCGATTGTTGGCCAGGCCCATATGAAACCAGAAAGGAATGCCAGCTTCGCAGACCGAATGGGTAAATACCCTTGCAGGGTTCATCATATCTATGTCTAAAATAAAGAATATATCATGTAACGTTAAGATATCGAATAGCAAATTGGTCCGGTATATCAAAAAGATGACAGACTGTGACTATTCTTAGCAAAAACTGTTGGCAACATCTAGATTCTATTTTTTCGTTAATATTTAAACAAACTCCCTGAAAAATGTGCAATACCTTCTGTAAGGGCATTGGAACTAAACTCAAACGAAGATTCCCGCCTGGGGAGCACGAGCCTAATTATGGAACGACAGAAATGGCAAATTAACATAAAATTTAGCAACATTAAAAATTATACTTTATTATGTTCGAATGTGTCGTGTGTGTATGCTCCTTTTTATTGTTGCTCTGTGACTAAATTGATTAATGAGCCAATTTGATAGTTGCGTCTGCTTACGGACATACTTTTATGACACTTCAAAAATTATGACGGGCATTTTATTTGTTTATAACTTGGCAGATTTCTTGGTCAGTTTGGCCTTTTGTTTTACCGTTTTACCGGCACATGTTGCACAATTCGGCGCAGTGAAAGTGCTCGGGCCTCTGCAGGGGACGGCAGAGAGAGAGAGAGGAACCCATAAACTTGGCCATAAAAATAATTTCGGACTGGGCGGATTAAGCGAGTTATGGCTTTGGTGTTAAGGTGTTGGCGGCACATTTCTTTTACGGGCTTATATATTTTATTTTCAAGTGGGACAATCTTTTTTGGCGTTTTTAATGGGGCCATTGAGTTTGAAAATTTGATTTATCTGGATTCGGCCATTCAGATGCTAATGAGGCCGATAGAATGACGTAGATCGGGACGATTATTCTCAGGGTTGAACGAATTATTTTGTGATAGATGGCCAGGATTTATCCATCACAATTTTTACTGACTGCTGTCGAAAGGATCGTAGCCTGTAGCTTTGCAGAAAAGAGGCCCAGACCCGAAATTTTGCTTTCCAATCAGCTAGACATGTCCCGGGATGAGTTGGGTCCTTCTCCTCCTCAGGCGCACGCAGCTTCCGAGCTTCAGGAAAGCCTCTACTTCCAGTCCTATGCTCGCCTGGAGACACACATGGCCCTGCTGCAGGACTCGGTGCGAACCCAGGCTTTCCGGGACGCCATCCGCCATAATCGCCAGCACTTTCAGGGCAAGATTGTCCTGGACGTAGGCTGCGGCACTGGGATTCTTTCACTTTTCGCCGCGGAAGCGGGAGCTCGCAAAGTCATAGGCGTGGAGTACACGGATATGGCGGAGGTGGCCAGGGAAATTGTGAGGGATAACGAGAAAGAGGACGTGGTGACGGTGGTCAAGGGATTGGTGGAGCAAGTGGAGCTGCCCGATGGGATTCAGCAGGTGGACGTCATTGTCTCGGAATGGATGGGGTAAGATCTGTGCTATATATTTGCTATAGATTTTGTTAATCATAATGTATGTATACCCAAAGCAACGGTCTCTACATGGAGGCCGTGCTGAATTCGGTTCTCTACGCCAGGGACAAGTGGCTCCGCCGCAACGGCCTGATCCTGCCAAGCGTGGGGAACCTGTGGGTGGTGGGAGCCCACGATCCTCACCGGAAGGCCAATCTGAACTTTTGGCACAGTGTGGAGGACATCGACATGAGCTGCGTGCGGAAGGTGGTCTCGCAGGAGCCCGTTGTGGACTGCGTGACCATCCAGCAGCTCCTGACGGACGAGTGCTACCTGCACTCCACCCACCTGGACACCGCCAGGAATGAGCCGGTGGCCTTCCGCTCGAACTTCCTGCTGACCGTTCGGCGCCCCGGGATTATCAACCTTCTGGTTCTGTACTTTGATGTGGGCTTTCCCCAGGGCGACTCGCCGGTGTCCCTCAAGCTGTGCACCTCGCCGCATTCGCCCTGGACCCACTGGGAGCAGACGCTCCTCTATCTGGACGAGCCGCTCTTCGTCAAGGCCAATGACCGGGTGCGCGGAGTTTTGGGTGTGACGCCCGATGGGCAGGACAGGCGCTGTATGACCTTTGACCTGAATATCAGCTTTCGCAGTGCTCGGACTCGCGTGGAGAGCTTCAAGAGTTTTAGCTCCACGGGATCGAGGTGAAGTGGCCCCTGTTCTTCTGGAGCAGATTCCTCAATAAAGAGAGATAATAAAATGGCCTCAAATTGCCATAAAGCTGGTCGTTAATCAATGGAATCAAAGTGCTCCAAGACTGGGATATTGGTCAAGAGTGGACCTAGAAAGTGGACGGACAGTCCCCAGCTGGCCAGCCGAAATGTTAACGACTTTCTTAACAAATTAATTTCGAAGACGGGGGAATGTGGAAATATTTGTGCCTCCGCCTCTAATTAATTGATGACCGTCGTATAAATTTGTGAAAGCCAACGCCGTGGGCCCACAATGAACGCCTTTTATGCGTTTATAACTCTATTTACTATTTCCAGCCATTTGCATTGTCTCGTTTCGAGGTCTCCGGCTCTGAGTCCGATCTCGAGAGGTCCCCGAAATCTCTTGTCAGCTCGTTTTGTGCTTGTGCACAGTCCGGCATTGTTAATGGCAGTTCTTAAAAGGCCATAAAGTTGCTTTATGCCGCTCGTGAAATTAATATGCGCACCATTATTGGACGTGATTATAAAATATTGCTTCTCTAGCGCGCACAAAAGTGCCTCAAATGAGCCAGCGATCTTTGATTTTTGGTCAACACTTGTTCGCATCCCTCATTCCTCATTCCTCATTCCTCATCCCCAGTCGGAGGGATCAGGTGGGATCGGGCCGGGGCTAGTGCCCCCGCTGGGCGCATTAACAAACTCCCAAACAAACTGGACACGATCCTCGGACGCACTAGCGGCGTAGGCCCAACAAACATTTCAATTTGTATCTTCATGCACACTGATAAACTGACCTCACCTTTGGAAAATCGAAATACCAAGCAAATAAATTTTTAATTCAAAAAAATCATTTGGATTTCAAGCATTTTACCTTTGGAGCTTGATTTTTCACTGAAATTCCCAATGGGATGTATATTCTTTTCAAGATGCAGATTTATTATTTACAGATTTCAGATCTTAAAGTAATTCTTTTCTTTCTGTGCACCCCAATCCCGGGCCCATGCCCCAGTCGCTCACCATTCCTACTCCCCTGTCCCGATCATGTTGTTCGGGTATCAAATTGCTGGCATTTGTCAGCGGAGCTGAGGGACACCGAGCACGGAGTCCCCTATAAATTTGAGACTCGTTAGACAGCTTATCCCGGCGAGGCGAGTCCTGGGCCCCGGTCCCGCTGATAAGGAGGTCGGTCGGCTGGGTCCGCTGCGACAATTGGCTCATAACTAATTGTTGTCACCCGCCGGCGATAAGGCAACAACTGGGAATGGGAAACTGTGAGAAATACAGTGTGATAAGTGTGTGTGGAATTTATGTTGGCCGATTGGGATGGACCCGAGAAATGTGATGCCCATGGCTGCCCTAAGAACTAGATCCTTTAATACTATAATACTATTTCTAGTATATATTTTTTAAGTATAATAAAAGTGCTACTGACTACGTGTCATTTCAAGCAAAGTCTGAAACTTCAAACTGTCTACTGCTTTTGCTACCTATTAAGTAAAATGAATTTAGATAAGGATCTACAACGGGAGATGGCGCAGAGTATGCTGAAGGATGTCATATCTGCCAATGCCTACGATCGCCTGATCAAGGACTATAAGAAGCTATTCAAAGATAAGGTAAAATTCAGACCTTAATAAAACGCCCTTGATAGTTATTCGTTACAGATTGTCCTGGACGTGGGCTGTCGCAGTGGACTGCTCAGCCTGATGAGTGTGGAAGTGGGGGCCGTAAAGGTTATCGCCGTGGGAAATATGCAAAGTGCCGGAATGGTCAAGAAAGCCCTTGCCCAGGGCGACAAGGAGGACATCTTTGAGGCCGTCAATGGCGCTATTCAGGAGATCCGCCTGCCGTGCGGTCTAAAGTACGTGGACATCATAGTGTCCGAGTGGCTGGGGTCCGTTTAAATGTATTACTAATATTTTATTTATTAGAAACAATTTTATCTTCTTACAGCCACTCTATCTTCGTAGACTCCCTCTTCCGGGAGGTGATCTTTGCCAGGGAGAAGTGGTTGGCCAAAGGTGGCATTATCATACCCAATGTGGCGCAGCTCTACGTCAGTGGAATCTCGGAACATCGTCGTCTGATTGTACAAGGGAATGTCCCCGGTAAGCACTATAAAGTGTGGGAGAAAGAATCCCTCTTGGAGGATCATGTGACCAGGGAACAACTTATCACCGATAAGTTCTTGATCAAATCCATTGATCTCTGCACCGCCAGCGTGGAAGATGATGCCTTTCGCCTTCCGTTTAAGCTTAAAGCTCTGAAGGATGGCTTCCTTGGAGCTGTGGTTCTCCATGCGGATGTGGCCTTTTCCCGAGCCAAGGGTAGACTCCGACGTTTGTTTTCCACAAGTCCGGGGGAGCCTCGTACCTATCTGAGGCAAACCATATTGTTTGTGAACGATTTCGTCCAGGTTGCTGAGCATCAGTCGATCCTTGGTGTCCTGGGAATGTATCCCAATCCCAAAGAGCATCGCGGTGTGCAGTATTCGCTTTCTTTTGAAGAAGAGGAGCCTTTCGAAGCGACTTTAGGTTCAGGGAGGGGCAGAACGTCTAAATGGACTTTGTCTAAATAAAGGGTGCTCCAAGCTAAAGCTGAGGCTGATGTATTCATGGCAATGTTTTGGCAGGGACGCAGGCGCAGGGGATCCGAATTTATGGCCGTGCTGCATCAATTAGGGCGGCTGCTGCTACCCAAAAAGACAATGACCGGGGATCCAGGGATCTGGATGATTGGGATCGGGATACACTGACTGACTTCTTTCTTTTTTTTTGAGACCCTCCTTCCTGCCGCGCCTGCTGACATGATCGGGGTTTAGCTTTGACGTTGCTACAACGATTTAAAATGATGTCGCGCATAATTCACCGATCGCGGATCGATTGGGGTTCGAGGATCCCAGCTCCCATACGACGGACGGCGGACCGCAGACCGCAAAACAATCGTCTTGCCAGACTGTGCGTCGTGATTTGGCTCTGCATTCTGGTCTCTGGTCTCTGGTCTCCTTCGTGGCCTCGTTTACAGTAAAAGCTCTTTTGTTCTGATCTCATAACCGATTGCTGATCGCGATATCGGCTCTCACTTGGTTAGCCCAGCGCAGGAATCGGAATCCGTGAGTCCCAATCTTGTTTCTCCCCTGAAACTCAAATGCTTAAGTGACATTTCGTCTTCTCCATATGCACAGGCCGAAAAAAGTTGGTTATTTTGGGGAAATACATATAATGACTGGTTTAATAGGGACATTTTGATCCTGTATCAATATTGTATTTAATTCAAAGTAAGAAAGTCTCAAACCTTAAAAAACGCATAATTAAGACAAAAATGCCTTCATTTCAATTCGGAAAGCATTCCTATGTTAGTTTTTGTTAGCCTAATAAATCTGCAATCTCAATTTACAATTTTGGAAAATTCTTTTTTGTCTTCAATTTTTAACGATTTTATCGATGTAACCCCTTATAAAATTTTGCAAATTTTGAAAAAATTAAATTTTTGTCGGACAAGTCTTAATAGATGCGTCTGTTGATGCTGATCAAGAATATATATGCCTTATAGGGTCGCAAATGACTCCTTCACTCCGTAGCATGATTTAACTAAAATTATTGTACGCTTGAAGGCTGTACATATCTATTTCTGCAGTTTTATACCCTCAATTTATAAAAACCTATATATTAACATTACAAACTGCAAGGGTATAAACAAAAAAAATTTAACGTTAAGTACAAGTTTTTATATATACTACAAGGGTGTATTCTTGGTGTCTTCCTTTCCCCTGAAACTGTAGAATATCAAAAATCGATGCAGTTTTGACTACTTTTTTTCAATAGTTTTTTTTTTTAATTATTATCGTCTCCTCTCGCTATTATTTTCTCCATGTGTAAGCTTGAGATCAGTCTGGAGCTGGAGCTTGAGGGTCCCCGTGATGGATTAGCATCGTTTTGCCGAGAGGATAATGTGTCGTCTGCAATGATTTTGGTTGACATGCGCGACTTTTTGTATCGTTCGGTTTTTTCGGTTACCTTCGTTGTTGTTTCTCAGAAATAATTATGCTACTTTTGTGCAAGAGTAACAGCATTTTTGTATAAATTGCATAAAAATTTAAATTGGATTTTCGGTTTCTTGCCTGGTTTTTTGTGGCTGCTGCGAAATTGCTTAATAATGAAATGCCAATGGATTAAGCGCAATTTGTGCGGCATGTCGCACTGATTGTCGCCGGTGTCTTTATCTTTATCTTTATCTTTATCGCGTTTTTCTGCCCGGACAATTGGCAAGCCGTCCGATTTCCTTCTGACCATCATCAACACCATCACCATCATCTTCATCATCGTCATCAAAAGCAGCAGAAGTAGCAGCCAGCAACACGTTCGATTTGCCGGGCCTTATTTTACACCTAACAAGGCCCAGAAAAAAGACCCTATAACTGGCTCTTTCTCACGAGCCCGTCTCTCTTCCATCGTATCTGCGCTTCTCGGGGCCTTGCAGCGTTTTCATTAAATTCGCTTAATAGCGCAATATAATTTAAACAAGTAGTAACATAAAATAAAACTCACAGCCATGCACTGAAAGGCCTAAAGATGAAGCAAATTACTCCGGACTCCAAAGACCGGGCCCTGGACCCCGTTTTGAGAGGGATGCCAGGAGGGGAAACGGGATCGGGGATCGGTATCGAAATCGGTGGGCAGTCTCCCCTGGCCAGTTATGGCGCATGGGCGAGACCTCGTTGTCGACCAGCAATGGCAATAAGTTCGCTTAACGAGGGTTTAATTTATGATTTGTTATGTTTCCGGTTCATGTTCTTGTTGCCTGCAAAATTATTGGCCATAAAGCCAAGGTGTGGATTATAGTTGCTGGCAGTGGTAGCCCTCGCTTGCTCGCTCGCTCTCTCGACCAAGTCAACTGGAATTGGCCTGGCCAAAGAGGAGTGACTGAGCGGGAAAGGGAAACATGTGGTGAAAAAAAGGAGGACGGACTGGTGACCCCATGGGGTGAAGAGTGATTGTAGGTTTCCCAGCTTCTATCGTTGAACCGGGGATACGTTAAATGAAAATGGTACACATTTGGAGACACAGTAAAAGATGAATCCCCGAAAGTGTATAATGAAATAATTAAGGATGTCATTCATTGCTAATGCCACTCGGTTATGCAGCTACCTTGGCAATGTTCTACCGGCCCACTAATAGCGCCTAATCCTTTCACGCTCACCGTGCATTTGCCTCCGCTCCTCTGGACGATGCGGATGGGGACAAGGACCGAAGATAAGGCCATCGAACGCTGCTTGCCCTGCGTTGAAAATCGATTTGTAGTCTTATTTCGCTTGCCTTTTTCGCCTGTGGCCCTTGGGTTGCGCCTGCGCAAACAACTCAGAACGCGGATAACAGCGGATAAGAAAATAAGCAGAGACAAGCGGAGACACCACGATCCTTGCAGGGCTCGACCTGGTCCTCGGTCGAGGCAACGCCAACGAGTATCTGGGGGAACATAAATTACGCGACTAACAAGCAGCGCCCCGTTCAGCTAAAAAAGATACAGAAAGGAGGAGGAGGAGAGGAGAGGAGGATGAAAAAAACACTTCATACTTGGGAACAGACTTGCACCGGAAAAATTGATTTTACAACTTCAGAAGCCAACTAAACCGGGAAAATTATTATTAGAAAATTAAGGTATTTAAAAATATTACAGATTCTTACATTTTTAAAAATATTGTTTGGTTAACTAACCTAAAACAATAACACAGTACACAAACTTTGGTGTTCCGATCTTAGGTTCCATTCCTACTTTAGTAAAAGTAATTTGAGTCATAAAATGTAGCATACTTTTTCGTGCAATTTTTTGATGGTTTCATGAAGTCGATTTCGTTGAACAGTCCTTCTTAACCATTTTATTATGAATAATTAGGCACAATTTCTCTGAGTGCTGGCAGCTCAAAGCTCTCAGCCAAAGTGAGTTGCACAAAATTATAAATGAAAGCGGGTGTTGGACCCGTCCTATCCGGGGGCCCTCATCCGCGTCCTCGTACCTGGCCGACCATCCCCATACTCCTCACGATTAGGTGCAGCAATTTGGCCGGGGCTGTCTGTGATTGAGACCGAGGCAGTGGTCGAAACGAAGTTAAAAATCAAATTAGCGAATGTGTTGAAAATTAAAAACAAATTCACGGATAAATTGCATCTGCCAGATACGCAATTATTATGAGGGCCAAGGAGGAGCGTCGAGGGAGCCCGCTGACTTATGGACTTTTGGACTGCCTCTGCGGCTAGCCATGGGGCTCTCCATTCCTGCACTCTGTATTCTGTATTCTGGACCTGGGACTGTGTATTGTGTGTTCTGGACTGTTCCGCGATCCCTGATTCTGGGTGCCTTCGACTGCCTGTATCCGTATCTGTGGCTGGGCATCTGTGTGGATCTGCGGCTATGTGCCCTCGAGGTGTTGCAATTTGACGTTTTTTACGCGAGTTTTTATTCCATGAAATCCACATGAATTTCAAGGGGCTGCACAACAAGAAAGATCCAACAAGAATGAAATTATGATGATGGGATATTAATAAGCTTGTGGTAAATTAAAACTATAGAGTATATTTCAAGGGACTAATACTATAATTAGTCTTGGGCTTATATAATAATATGAAATATTCATTCATTAATGTTTGCTCGCTCTTCCTCCTCTACCTGAGCTGGAATAGATATATTTAAAATGAAACTCTGAGATTTTTCTCTGCGTGTTCGACGTGCAAATACTCGGCCCTAAATGGCAGTGATGTCTTTTGGGTCCGTTGGCGAAAAAACATGTCGAATTAACACGCTCCGAGGGGCAGCTGGACGAGTGGTCGGTCGTCGGGGCTCCATTTTTGTATATTTAAATGTTGGCAAATTAGCTGAAATTTCTTCTCGCAATTTGCATGGGCCTGTGTGTGTGCACTGTGAGCCATATAATTATAGTAGAGTCTAAACTTCTTCCTTTGCCGAATATCTATATATGTATATATATAAACTGAAAAAAGAATGTGGCTCAGCTGGCGCCGTGTCTGAGAAGACGGGCAAATAAATCGCGCTGCTGTTGAACTTTTTATATGCCCGAAGGGACAGAAGGGACGCGGAGTCCAGGGCAGTCGAGGCAACAAAAGCCAGAATGGCACTGCTGCCAGAGATCTGCCAGAGATGGAAGTGGCCACGCCCTCCCGTCGTCCGTCGTCCTGTGGCCGCTTCTTTCCTTTCCTGTTGCCAACTTCTACTTGTGTTCTGACGGGGCCGTAAAAAAAGGGCGCAAATTTTATGAGCGCATCGTTTAACAAATGAATTTACAACCGTGCAACGCCCAAATGTCTGGCGTTCAAATTCAAATTCCTGGCTACAGAAAGAACGGAAATCTTGGCCCAGCTCCAGGTCGACTTACGTGGCACTCGGAGGCGTCCACACACAGAGAAAAAAAAGTTGGGTGCCTTAAGCATAGTTTCTCTGTTCAAAATTATGGCTATGGGCTTACAAATGTAAGGTTTCGATTCTCCAATATCGATATATTGAATGAATTAATATTTTAACTAATTACTTTATAAATAATTCCCAACTGGCATAACTTCTTTGATG